TGGCGGTGGTGGAAGTTAAGCCCACCATCGCGCATTGCAGGGCGCGGTGCGCGCAGTGGTGTGGCGACCTGGTGGCGTGGCAGTTTGCCCCTGGCATCTGACGCAGGTTCGACGCGTGGCGCAGGTTCGACGCGTGCTCGACGCGGGCTCGACGGTGCCTCGACGCCGATTCGACGTGGCATCGGCGTTACTCCTCAGACCTCCTTGCATGGTGAACAAAAATCACGACTGGAGGTTTCTGTTGGTCTTTTCGGCCCCAGGGGGCCCTTCCCGGGCGTCGGGACCGTCAAGAAGCGACTCAGGGTGGAAAGCCGGTCCCGGGGAAAGGGTGCAGACCTTTGGGGGTCGACGTTGTGAACAAATCACGACGTCGGGACGTTGTGAACAAGTCACGACGTCGGGGGTCTGGGTCTGGGGAGTAGCCAGCGCCGGCGACGAAGCGATGGGACGGACCCCCCTCTGCGTTTGCCCATCCCCAGTGGGCCAGGGCGCTCCTCAGCGCCACCAGCCTAACATCTCCCAGGAGGGGGATGGATGCCTTCCAGAGGAGGCGAACGACATACACATACACTCTCGGAGGACTGTGCGGAGTTCTTGGATGGGCGCTGCAGCTTCTAGCGGTGTCTCCGGCGTCGCCCCTGTCGCGTTCCGCGCGCCAGGGAGGGGGTCCCGACGCCGTTTCAGGAACTCCGCGCGCGCTTCTCCAGTGCCTGTTGTTGTGATTTGCTGTCTTCCGCCCTTTCTCTGCTAATTGAAGCTGTGCGCGTCCCGCTCAGCTTTCAGCGGAAAAGGTTCGCTCTCGCCCTGCAGATCCACAAGTTCTTGTGCTCTGCTGTTGGCCTGCCTGGCTCCTGGGCGTGCGCCTTGGCCCGCGCGCTCGTGGCCGCCCACCCCCCGCGCGCCCGCACCCTCCCGGCCGCGCTCCGCCGTGCGAGCCGGCACGCGGCGGCCGCTGTGCGGCCATGGACCCCGACGGCAGCGACGTGCCCCTCGTGGCGCCGCAGGGGGCCGCGGGCCCGCCGCGCGAGGCGGGCGCGGCCCCGGCGGGCGCCGCGGGCGCCCGCGGCGGGGCCTCTGGGGCGGCGGGCTGCTGTGCGCCGTGGGCGGGGCCTGCGTGTGGGCCGCGGGCCGCCCTGGCCGCGGGCCGCTGCGCGCCGGCGTCCAGGGCGCCTCCGGGCTCGCAGGCGAGGAGGTCGACGGCGACGAGGCCTCGGAGAGGCTCGCGCTCGTGACCGCGGCGGAGGTCGAGTGGAGGGGCGCCACATGGGTCCGGGGCGGCGACGGCGAGAACTGCGAGGACGCCTGCGCGCGCATCGGGCTGACTTGTTACGAGAGCGAGGCCGGAAGAAAGGGGGGGATTGGGAAAGGGGGGGTTACGAAATCTGCTGCATGCTGCTGGTTTCGGCCCCACCGAGGGGCCCATTCCTCGATACATAGCTGCTTCCGGCGCCGGGAGGCGCCAGGAAAATCAGCTACGTGAGCTGATTCTCAAACCCCCCTTTTGCTATCCCCCCTTTCGCCCGGCCCGAGAGAGCGAGGCCTCGTGGCCGCACCAGAAGGCCGATGTCTCCCACATCGCCAAGGGGCTGGGCCTCGGGTGCAAAGACCACGTCTCCGCGGAGAACACCTACGACCCCTTCGTCGTAGGGCCGTTCTGCTCCTTCGGGCCCTGGAAGCCGCCGAACGTGTGGGCGGACTGGCGGCCCCGCAACGTGCGCTCGTGTAAGGCGGCGCCACCGAGGGCCACGACGCGGCTGTGCTCGTGCGTGCAGGAGATCCCGCCGAAGGGGTGCCAGGAGTGCAACAAGGACTGCTGGCAGACCGGCAGCTGTTGCGAGGCCGAGGAGGACGGGTGCTCGCAAGACCCGATGTTGGACAAGAAGAACCCAGACTACGACTGGTGGGGCGCCGCCGTAAACTGGGAGTGGGCTGGCGTCGTGCCAGACTCGAAGTGGATGGAGAACGTGACGTCCTACGAGGACCTGCCTGTGCTGTGGAACGCCACGACGGCCCACGTCGAGCCGCTGCACATCAAGGTGTTGACATACAACCTGTACTGGTGGAGCCTGTTCGAGAAGAACGGCGGCAGTGACGGAGCGGCAGGCAAGCTCGTGGCCGAGTCGGGCAATCACACGCCTTACGACCTCATGGCCTTCCAGGAGTGCGAGAACATCGACTGGGTGCTCGGAGACGCGGGCCTCTCGGACAGCTACGAATACTCGGAGGTCTTCTACTCCATCTGCCTCGCGTGGCGGAACGAGACCTGGAGGAAACTCGTCTCGGGCTACGACGCGGTGGCGACCGACGGCGGCTGGGTTAGGAACAACAAGTGGGGCGATCGCATTGTGTCTTGGGCTCGGCTCGAGCACAGGGAGACGGGCGACAAGTTGTTCTTCGCCAACCACCACGGCCCCCTGCCCCTCAACTCTGGGGGCGAGGCTGGCGGCTTGGCCACGGCGCACAATCTCCTGGCCGCCATCAAGGCTCACGCTGAGGAGGGCGACGTCATCGTTTTCACAGGGGACTTCAACTCCGACTACCGGTCCGCCACCGTCAAGATGTTGAGCACCAGGCTGATCCTGGGTTACCACGGGGAGTCTTTCGGAGGCATCGACAACATCTTCGCCAACACGGGGAAAGCGAGCTTCACGGACAGGAGGAACCTCGGAGGAGCTGGCAGCGACCACGATGCCCTCACGGCCACCGTCGTGGTCCCGACGAGCGCCCGCGCCGTCGCGGCGCTGGCCGCGGGGGCGCGCAAGGAGGCGGTGGCCAAGGCCGCCGCGGCGCGGGAGGCAGAGGGGGCGCTGCGGGGCCAGGATGGCCCACCTGGCAGCAAAGGGCTCGGACAGGAGAATGGCGGCGCCGGGCGCGCCGTGGTCTTGGCGGCGCCCGTCGGGTTGGTGGCGCTTGCCCTGTGGGGCTGGGCCGCGTGAGGCGCCCACTGGCGTCCTGCGGCGGCCTGGCTCGCGGGGCGGCCTCTCCTGCCAGCACGGCCGCCTCGGCGCTGCCGCACACGGGTCTGGCGCCCGCGCCTCGACGGAGGAGCACTTCTCTGGCGACTGCGCCGCCCGCCGGAAGGCGGCCGCGGAGGCAGTACGGTACGGTAGACTTCACCAGGCCGTTTACGTCGGCCTGCGGTCTGCCTGTGACCACATTCTGTTAATGCCACGGGCGACCACACGCCACGCATGCGTAGTGTGTATTGCTCGCCCTGTTTTTTGTTTGTCATCCGCGTACGCTCGGGTGTCTTTTTCCCGCGTTCGCGTCTGCGGAGGCGTCATCGATCCTCGACCCAGGAATGGTAGGGTGCATAGTTGTAAGGCCTTGAGGGCAACACAGCTGTGCACTGTACCGGGCTGGAAAGCAACGCCGCTCTCGTAGATCAAATTATTCTATTTTGTTATTTGGGGAATCGCGGCGGCTACGAAAGCAGTCCGCTCACATATTGTCCAGGGCTCGTCCCTGTCCCTGTATTGTAGCCGCTGTCGCCTGGGCGGCTCAAGCATCGGTTATGCGCTTTTGGGGACCCAGAAAAGTTGTACTTCCTCTCGCGCCACCAGCCTAACCCGTCGAGGTGGGGACGGATGCGCCGAAACCAAACGGATCAAGCATACATCCATACGTGGGGCCGTATGTCGGACAGTGGGGCCAAAGCTTTCCCAGTGGGGATTCGGATAGGTTTAACGTTGCCTACAGTATTATGATAGTGCATGCTTTTTGCGTTGGAAGCACTGCAAGACAGGGAGACCCGATCAAGGATCGTCGAACGTCGGCCCCGATGAGTTGCGTGGTATTCCTCTGCTGCTTTGTGTGGGAACGAGCATTGCAGGCGATGTCTTGCCACCGATCCCCTAGTTCTCCAATCGGAAGGGTCTCGCGGATACACCCTCCTGGGGGCTACTCGGACGCACCCCTTATCAAGAGTGGATGCCCCCCTCGCACTTCCCAGAGATCTACCCCACGAGCGTTTGGTCCAGTCGAAAGTCCCACACAATCGCGGACTGGGGCTGCCATGCCATGCCATCAACCTCTCTCTACTCCCCGAGGCCTTTCGGGACACACTTCGTGGCGGGATTCGCCGCAGCGCCCACGAGCACCTGGGAGCCCCCGTGACTTGGGGGTCTTGGGCCCTTGCAGGTGCGCATGCATTAAGCATTACAGTGGGAAACCGGAACAGCATTACAGCATTACATTGGGCGCATGCAGGTGCGCATGAACAGTGGGAAACCGGCCCCAGCCCCCACAATCATGGATTTGCGATGTCAGCGTTTCACAATCATGACGAATGAGCGCAGGTGTAGGCGCAGTTGAAGGAGTCCACTGCCAACTGCCGCAGGGGGGGGCCGCGCGCGCGGTTTAGTTGGTCTAGAGTTCCTCGTGTGGGGGTCTCTAGGCCTCCTAGATGGGGTCCGAGTAGATGGGGTCGAAGGCTCGCGCCGCATCTCCGATGCATCGCCGACGCGGCTCGATGTGAAGCCCGATTTGTTTCGCGTCGACGTCTCCGATGCATCGCCGACGTCGACGATGCATCGCCAGCGCATCGCCGATGCATCGGCGACTCATCGGCGAAGCGGCGCGATGCTCAGACCCCATCTAGGAGGCCTCTAGGGTCGGGGGTCGGTCTAGGGAGGGAGGGAGGAGGGACGAGAGGGTGGGGAGAGGGAGGGAGGGAGTGAGGAGGGAGGAGGAGGTAGGGCAGAGAGGAGGAGTAGGAGGAGGAGGAGGAGGAGGAGGAGGAGGAGGAGGAGGAGGAGGAGGAGGAGGAGGGAGGAGGAGGAGGAGGGGGAGGAGACACTCCCTCCAGCGCCGCCGCCACGGCGGCGGCTCCCGACGAGCCGCCGCGGCCCGATGACTCTGCACGGCGTTGGCGTTCTCCACCACGCGCTCTCTGACGCACCAGGTGGACAACAACGGCGCTTCATCAGCAGCAGCATCATCATCATAATCAGCATCCTCCTCATCATCATCATCATCATCATCATCATCATCAGCAGCAGCAGCAGCAGCAGCAGCAGCAGCAGCAGCGGCATCATCAACAGTATGGGGTGCAGCCTGGCGCGGCCGGCCCGGTTCGAGCTCGGCCCCGTGCGCCGGCGCGGCCCGATGCCATGCACGGAGGAGCCATCGGAAGCCGGGCAAGGGCCGCTGAAGCCGTGGCTGCCAGAATCGGCCTCAGGGAAGGTGTCTTCGTCCTTCCGGGAAGAAGCCCGCTGACTGTTTCGCGTGCCGCGCCTCCTTCCGGGAAGGTGTTTTTTCCTTCCGGGAGGGCTGCTTTGGCAGCCACGGTTTTAGCAGCCCTCGCCCAGCTTTCGAAGCAAGGCAGGCCATGAGTCAAGCAGTGGCGAAGCGTCCTGGCACGCCTGGAGGCCCACCATCGCAGGCCCAGAGGTTGACACCATCACCAAGATCGGCGGTGTGCCTCCACCGAGGGAAGACGATCCCGATCTCGGTGATGGTCGTCAGATTCTGGCTTCAATGTGACCGAAACATTACCACCAACAAGGAAAACTAGGATCATCTTCCCCCTGTGGAGGCAACCCCATGTGCTGGTGTTGGTGCCAATTTCAAGGCCTCCAACACCAAATAATGTTCTAAGGACCTTTGACGGTCTGCACGAAGTGTTCGTAGAACATTTCTGGCTGGGGCCGTCTTGCTTTAGCATGTCTGGGTCATGTTCTAAGAACATGTTCTGATAACATTTCGTGGTAGGCCTACAGGAATGCCGAGACGGTCGGTCCAAGACGGTCGGTCCCTGCTCAAAAAACAAGCCATGACATCAATATGAAAAACAATCATTCTTGGAGGTCCGCGCAATTTTCTTGGATCGGCGCTGGACCCGCCGCCCTGACGTGCGGAGCGCGCCAGGGGCGGCGTCGGAGGCGCCACCTCTGGGCTTCAGGCTTCAGCACAGATCCAAGTGAACCGCGCGGAGCTCCGAAAGGTTATGCTAGTGTGTTGCTCGGCGTCTGAGGCTCATTTTGAGCCGATCCGATTTCACGATCTTGTGCTGGCTGATTCCGTGGTGAGACTCGATGATCCTCATGACATGTGTTTGCCCCTGTTTGCACGTGCGTGTGTTTACCCAGCTCGTCTTCGCCAATAGCGCGCAGCCTCTTTCGGTCCTCGCTGCGCCGCCTGCGCCGGCCGTGTTGAAGGATCTCGGTGGACAAGCACACGATGGCGGCCACACGCGTTCTAAGGATCATCGGACTCCAAGAAATCCGCGCGGAGCTCTGAAAGTTGATGCTCACGCCGCGTTTCTTTTCTGATGCACATTTCGATTCGATCCCGATCTCGGGCCGATGGTGCCCGATCCGATGACCGGGCCACATCAGATCGAAGTTAGCATCGGTGAGGCACAGTCCGATCCGATCAGCATTCCCGATCCTATGCTGGCTTGTCCTTCGGCGAGACTCGGAGCGGGGAGCAGGACGGCGACCAGTAAGGGCCCCTGGGAAGCCGAAATCACCAGCAACCTCCAGTCGTGTTTCCTGGCGCACGGCTCAGGGGAGGAAAAGGCACGGGTGCCGCTACAGACAACGCGCATCGTACGGATTCACGCTATGGATGCACGGGTCTTGGATTGGGGTTGTGACCAGAGAGAGTTGCGAAGGATGGGCCGAAGGGGCAAGGATGCGAGGGCCGTCTTGGAAAGTTGCCCATCCTTGCTGTGCGCTTTGACTCTTCTCCCGTCGCCGCGGCTGGATTCGCTCCGAAATCCTGGCCAGACCGCGCCCCCGGCGAGGTCCGGGGGGCGGCGGGGCCGCTGCGGCCCGATCCGGTGCACAGTCGGTGCCGAGCCTCTCTCCCGGGCCGAGGGCCGGCTGGCCCCTTCGCTCGCTCTCGGAAAAGCGCGTTGTGGGCGAGCAGCGTAATTGGCCGTCTCCGCGGCCTCGCGGGCTGGGCCCCTGGCCGCGTCCACGCGGATACTCAATCTTCGATTGATCGCTCTTTTCTTGGGCCAGTTTAAGAAAGGAAAATTATTAAAACAGAAGGGTCTCTTGATTGATCCCAGTGTGAAGGTGAGATTGGACGGCATGTCTTTTTTCAGTTCTTTTATTAGCCGTCCATCTATTCTCACCTTCCCAACACTGGGAACCAATCGGGGCGCTGCTTCGCGGGTGTTCCGCGCGGAACGCATCCGTGCGACCGCACGCGATCTTTCGTGTCACGGACGGAAGGGGTACGGCAAGAGCGGGCGCAGCGCCCAAGAGCAGCTCCTGTTGATGCAGTTCGAGCAGGGCTCGCTGCCCGCGCCGCCGCGGCTGTGCCCGCTCGAGACAGAGGAGGCCGCCGCCTGCCCAACGGCGGCCGCCGGTGGTGTGAGACAGCATCTGTTGCTGGGCACTGCGCTGGCGCGTCCAGAATGTGCGTAGCACGGCGCGTTTTGCTTTCCAGACGGCTGCGGCTGCAGATCGGCGGCGACCCCGGGGGGGGGGACGTGAGAAGGGGCGAGCTTTCTCGGAACCGCAGGCCTGGAGGTTGACGCCAAGACAAATATCGGCAATGTGCCTCCACCAAGGGAAGAAGATCCCGATCTCAGTGACGGTGGTAACATTCTGGCTTGCAAGGTGACCGAAATGTTACCACCGACACCGACATCGAGGGTCATCTTCCCCCTGTGGAGGCAACCCCGTGTGTTGGTTGGTGTTGGCGCCAATTTCCAGGCCTCCAACAGAAGGCGCGGGAGTCCCCCAGCCTTCCAAGAAGTTTTCTAATCCTTCCCCGCGTATAGAACGCTTCTGAGAAGGCAGGAGGGTTTCTGAGAATCCCCGCCACCTTCAGAGAGGACCTCCTCCCTCTCACTTCCCCCCCTCGCTCGCCGCCGGACAGAATGCTAAGCGTGTGAATCGAGGCTTGACATGGTCATGCAATTCACGCGAGGCCCAAAACGGACAAAGCGCGCCCAGGAATCCAGACCACTAGGGCGCGGATATGGATACGCTCGCCGCTCGTGAGTTCGGACCCGACCTCGTGGCCCGATGGCTGCCTGGCCTTGCGGCGGCCCCTCTGGAACGGGGAGGTGGACGGCGACCTGAACGCCGCGGAGAAGCAGCTGCTGCTGCTCACCCTCGGCGGCGGTGGCTCCGAGCTCCCCAAGCCCGACGCGGAGCGCCGCGGCGGCGGCGGCGGCGGCGGCGAAGCCGGCGACTCACGGGCCTGCGCCGCACCGTGGTTTGTCACTTCTGCTTTGAGTTGGGCGTGTCCGTCTGGTTTCGGGCCCCAGGACCTGCGCAGATCGATCCAGCTCGAGACAGGGAGCAGTCAGGTGAGGTCTGGGGCTATGGCCGAGATTTGTTTTTTCCCGATGTCATTGGTTGTCGAGAAGTGGGACCTCGAGGAGATGTGAGCCGTCGAGATGTCTGGGGCTGCCAGGGGCGCTGGGGGCCCACTGGGACCTCGAGGGGAGCCTTTGGGAGCACGCTGCCGCTTCCCTGGCGCTTCTGGGCGCTTCCGGAGGGGGGGGGGGGGGCCTGGGTCGTTTCTCGGGGGTTTGTTCTCGGGCGTCGAAGGCTCTCCGGGATTTCGAAGTGAATTTCGCGAGGGCTTCCCTTGGCCAGGAATGAAGACTACAAAACATCCAC